AGGATTCATAGAGAAATGTATCTACAAACGATACAGTTTCCAAAAATAAATTCATATTTATTAATTTTAAATTGAGTTTTTTCTTGAAATTAACACCTGCCTTTAAACACAAAGAATAACTGTTCCCCCTTTAATTAGAACCAAATGACACTTTGTTCTCCAGGAAACTTCAGAGAAATGATCAGGAAGTTAATAAAATACCAACGAGCTTCTGAAACCTGGTAATTTACTTGTTAAAAACTGGTTTAAAACTCAATCTGGACTAAATATTATAGCTGGTTCCTTCTGTGTCCCATAAATGCAACACGAGGTACTTGAACGCAGTAAGTTTCCACACACGTTTAGTGTTGTTCTTATTCAACTGTTTACATCCCAAATATTCACAACATGGCGGACATTTGTAACTTAATGGCGGCTGTTTCGCCTCCTTCCTCCTTTTTTTTTTTTTTTACAGTGAAACTCAGCTGTCAAATATGTTACTGCTTATTAATCTTTTAAAAAATACGATTGTAAGTATTTAAGTTTTAATGGTGTCAAACTATGCCTGTATAACTTTAAAAAATACTTGGACTGAAGTTGAAACATATTGGTGAATTTCCAATCCAGTAATGTAAAAAATATAAAGAGAGATAAATGGTAACAATAATTACAATAATAACAGCTAAAAAGTGGAAATTGTAACATTAATGAAAGGGTTAATTTGGTAAAACAGTATGAGAAAAAGGCCATTAAATGGCAGTAGAGGATAAGAAATCCACCAAAGGGGAGGAGTGGTCAGCGAACACATAGGTGGAGTTAAGGTGTAACGCCCACCTGGAAGGAGGAGATATGGAGGAGTTAAGATGTAACGCCCACTGAAGGAGGAGACAAGGTGAGCTTAAGGTGAATATAAGGCGATGTTCGCTGACCACCAACTCAGTTCCATCCTGAGACCTGCAGGGATGCTGCTCGGGTTTATCTGTCCTTTATTGGAATAAAGTCTTTTGCACCGACTCTTGACCTCCAGTGAAGTTTTTGACTACGCAGTTTTTTGATTAAAGAAGAGATCTAATAGAGTAATTTTATTGAGTTTATTACGTTGGTTAGGGTAGGGCCAGGTCTTTCACTGGCCCGGCCGGTCCTTATTTCCGACCCGACAGAAGATCCACCACCCCATGATGGTGCTTGTGAGCTTGGTGTTCCTCAACCTCCCCCACACAAACCCCCTTGAAGTACTTTTCTGCTGCTTTAACTATTATTTTGATTTTTTTCTGTTTTCTTCTCTGTTTGCGCAGAGCAGTTTACAACATCAACCACAAACAGACAACAAACTCATTTTTCCCCACCATCACAGTGATTCCTTGATTTTGTCACATGTTCGACTTTGTACATTCTGCACTAACGTGTTTATTGTTTGGTCTGTCTGGTTGCCAACCTGCTCTCTTGGTTGCTTCAGCGTATGTTATCCCTTCTGATGTTTTAATTCTCTGTATTTCTGGAGCTCTAGCCTCACATCCCCTGTAGGCCGAGCTGTGTTCTCCTCCACAATTACATCTTCCACCCTTTGTTTGCCCTTACATACAGCTACATGTCCATATGTTTCTCACTTAAAGCACCTCAGAGGGGGGGGACATAATGTCTGACATCATAGCTCATCATAGCACCTAGATATACCTTAGATGGCAGCCTTTCCTCATCAAAACATCATATTTATACTTGTCCTTTGTATCCACATGCTGCTGCTGCCCAGTCAGCTGCCAAAGGGGCTGCTGGAGGTTGAGACGGCCTTTTATATTCCACCACAGGAAGTGGAAGAACCAACTACTGGCAGAGGGACTCTGAACTACAAAAGTCTTAATAACACACAGCAGCGTGGGGACATTTGTTTGTTAGATTAATCTTGGGTTTCAGTAGTGTGTGTTAAGTATTTTGTCACGAGGCCCTGGCTGTGAGCTTGGTGAGTGTTGTGGATGTCTGTCTGGAGTGCGTGTGGTGAGCATGTTGTTGTCTCACCTGAGACTCATCCTCAATCAGCGCACCTGACCTGTGTTCCACAATCAGCCACTGCCTAAATAGGAGGCTCAGACATCCAGTCCTCGCTGGATTGTTGAATCTCCATGCGTATGTTGTGTCAGCCCCACAAACCTTAGAATCTGTCTTGCATCGTGAGAACGTTTGCATTAATCTAACCTTTTCTCTCTCTGTCTCAGAAGACCTCCACGGCCTCAGCGAACTGCCAGCCAGTAAGCTCTCGGTTCTGCCCGCAGCCTGGACACTTCCCCGCTCTCGGATTTCCCCCCAACCCTGGACCTGGGAGAGAGCCTCAGCCTCGATCCTCTGACTTCCCCTGCTCATTCTCTTTGAATAAACTGTCTTACTCAGAGCTGCGTTTGGGTCTTCTCTGCCTGAAACCCTGA